AATTTACATTTAAAATAAGAAAACACTATTGCATTGTCTTATTTCAAGTGCATTTTATCTAATTATCTTATTTTAAGAGTAAAACACTTCATTCCATTGGCAAATTATCTCGTTTACCAACTCAAATTAAGATTAAATACACTTAATTTAAGAAATTTTTACTTATTTCTAGATTGTTTTTCCAGTGTTGGAATCAAATCCTTCAGCTTCCAGTCTTTGTGAAGATTGCTCCATGCTGTGGGGGCAGAGTACTGAAAAGTACTGAAAAATAAAATTATTATAAAGTAAAATGCTTTCTTTAAACCAAACTACGATGTTCCTCTTATATTTGGTGAATTTATGTTGCAGTGCATGATGGGGGTTTTGCATCTAATGGCAGGGATGAAAACCGTTCCCAGTCTGAGCCTGGGAAAGTTACGGCTGTACCAACTTCTAATGATTAGATTTAGCTGAAATATTGCACGCGTTATTATTTATATCTCTATAGATTAGGTGGCAAATTGCAGCTCTGAAGTAATTTTTATTTTTATTTCCAGGAGTTTGAACTGAGTCGGGTCTGAAAAAGCCTGTTGAGGTTCGAGCAGTGATCTGGTTTTTGTATTTGAAAGGATGCGGCACCACAGGAGACGTGAGACCTTGTATAAGGTCCTCTGATGAAGCATCATCACCATAAGTTACTTTCATTTCATCAACAGACTCTCCTGTACGGAAGAGGATTAGGGCCGGTGGAAAAAAAAAATAAAGTTAACTGATTTTTAAATTTTATTTCAGTTTAGTATGGGAAAAAATCTGACTTTTTTCTCAGAATTCTGACTTTAATCTCAGAATTCTGACATTTTTATCGTCAGAATTCAGTCAGAATTCTGAGATTAAAGTCAGATTTTTTCCCCATGTTAAACTGAAATAAAGTTTAAAAATCAGTTAACTTTTTCTTTTTTTTAGTGGCCCTCATCCTCTTCCGTACTCCTGGGTCTGCGTCCCTTCAAATATAAAACCAGGATTACTGCTCGACACTTTTAGACTCAGTNTTTTTTTTAGTGGCCCTCATCCTCTTCCGTACTCCTGGGTCTGCGTCCCTTCAAATATAAAACCAGGATTACTGCTCGACACTTTTAGACTCAGTTTAAACACATTTATATCAGAAACAACAATTAGTTCAGGGCTGTAATTTGCCACTTAATCTATAGAGATATAAATAATTGCACATGCAACTTTTCAGCTTGATCAACCAATGAATGATCCTCATAGACTGCGAAAAAATAAAGACTTTGTAAAGTAAGTCATTTTATTCCTGAATTAAGTGTATTTTCCCTTTATTTGAGCTTGCAGGTAAATATTGCCAATTTTTTAGGATGATTTATATTTAAAATAAGAAAAAGCTTCATTATCTTATTTTATGTACATATTCTTTATTATATGGGGAAGCATAATCCTTAAATAGCTCAAATTAATGGCAAATATTGTGGTTTTAAGAAATGTTTCCTCTTTTACACTGCAAAAAATGTAAATCTAAATAAGTAATATTTTCCTAAACTAAGTGAATTTGTTCTTGAATTGAGGAGGTAAGTGAGACACTTTGCCAATTTGCATTGAAAATAAGAAAAAGCAATTGCATTGTCTTATTACAAGTGCATATTATCTAATTATCTTAGTTTAAGAATAAAAAAAAACTCATTCTGTTGGTAAATTATCCCATTTACCTACTAAAATTAAGGTAAAATACGCTTGATTTAAGGAATTTTTACTTATTTCTAGATAGTTTTTGCAGTGTAATGCTAAATGAATGTCTTATGATGACATTTATGATGACATTTTAGAAATGAAAGTCGGTTTAAGCTCAGGCTATTTTAAAATAGGATCATTTTCATCTATTAGATTCGGATGTACAGCCTTGCCTTTGCGGCTCACTTAATTTCATTAACAATCTTCTCTTGCCCTGTTTCTGTTTCTGTTGCTCATTTAATTTGTTTCTGCTCCTCTAGCCTTCGTTTGGTTTGTAGCTAAAATAAAACCAGCAAACTAAATTTCTGGAACAAAAGTGACATTTTTGATCAGTTGAGCTTCAGTTGAGCTTCAATGTTGGCAGGAAAGCATCTCCAGAGGGCTGAGCTCACGGTTGCTGCTTCCTCACAGCCGTTAATGAAGGTTTGAAGCAGGCAGACTGTCGGAGCATCATCATCATCATCCTCATCATGTGGAGCTCTAACAGGTGGCTGACAGGAAGTTTGCTTTGCTTTATGAGCGCCAGGCCAAAGGCTCCTCTGGGT